TGCAAGCCTCTGCCTGGCTGGTTTTCGCAGGCGTCATCGCCCATGGCTCGATCAGGCAGGAGGCTGGGTTATCAGTAAAGAAAATAATTTACCACCCGCTTTATAATGACAGCAGCCTTGACTACGACATTGCTCTGATGAAGCTCCAAGTCCCCCTGAATTTCTCAGGTAAGATGCTGCCGTGAGGCTGCTGTGGTTTTTTTCCCGTCTGTGGAGTTGTCAGTCTTATCCCATGGTTAAAGAGGTGGCCAAAACCCGGCCTTTTTTGAAGCTGCCATGTCAGAGCCGCTGAGGACATCCAGCCTGGTGCCTGGCAGGCAGCGTGACCCGCTGGCCTGGCACTGACCCTGTCACCCTCGTACCAGCTGCCGTCCGTGCCGTGTGTCTGCCACCCTCGCACCAGGACCTCTTCCATGGCGCGCCGTGTTGGGTCTCCGGCTGGGGCTATACCAGACCAGACCAAGGTGAGCTCCTGTCTTGTCCCTGCGGCTCAGCACTGACCAGAGGCTTTCCCCTCGCTCCCCACTGGCTCTGCCCAGCCCTTTCCATCCCACGTCTTGCAAATGCCCCCTCCTGCTCCAGCAGCTCTGCACCCCACATCCACAGCTCCTGTGGGCCTGTCCGTATCTAATTCTGTACGATAATCCCACCTTCTGAACTAGTCACTCATGCTCTGCACATGTCACTCCCCTCTTGGCTTCTCTCTCCCCCCTCAGCGCAGGTTACGGACACACTGAAGGAAGCCCTCGTTCCCTTAATCGGGACCAAGAGGTGCAACAGTTCGTGCATGTACGCAGGCGAGCTCACTCCCAGGATGCTGTGTGCTGGTTACCTGCGTGGGGAAATAGATGCGTGCCAGGTAACAGCAGGGAGGCAGCGGAGTGTGCTGGGTGTGCGCAGCAGGGCTGGGCAGGGCTGGGCAGTCGTACATCCCTGCTGTGCTCCAGCTAATGCTGGCTTCTGGGGAAACACCTTGCAGTCACCACTCTGCGTAGCGGCCCAGTGCGCTGACGTCGGGCTGAGATTTAGCTGTCTTTGCAGAACGAACACAGAAGCCTCGCAGGGAGGCACACACCACTTCTTGTACCTGCACTTCAGCTTCTGTACGGCTGACGGAACAAAGCCGTGAGGGAGAAGCCAGCCTGATCCGCGCCCCAGCGGGCAGAGCCGCTTCGTTACTCCGCGCTGTCTTGCAGGGCGACAGCGGGGGCCCCCTGGTTTGCCAGGACGGGTTTGCCTGGCGCTTGGTTGGCGTCGTGAGCTGGGGCCAGGGCTGCGCCGAGCCCAACCACCCCGGGGTTTACACCAGCGTGGCTCAGCTCCTGCCGTGGATTTATCGCATCACTGAGGTAAGCTGCAGCAAAGGCGAGCGTTCAGTGTGCCCCGCAGCCGTGCATATCGCTCGGACAAATCCTAGCATCCTATGTGAACTCCTTCCTTCACCACCCCACGCTCACCCTTGGCATATGAACCTCTGGGACAACCTCTTCTATGTTACCGATTTCTTGCTTGTGTTTTCCTTCTTTTTTGGACTAGACCTACTAGAAATGAGGCAAGGAGAGACTTCACAGAGGAACACTTTGCCCTTTCCGTGCAGTAAGTGGAGAATGGTCCAAGAGCGACTCACCCCTAACAGAACTGTACCCCCTGACACCACCAGAGAATCTGCTCAGTATAAATAGTTTATTAAAGAAAATAGCAAACTACATTTCTGTGAACAATTTACACGAGAGAAGTGGTGTTCTTCAAGAGACGTGCGTTTTTTGGACTGCTGTCTGCAAAGGGGCTTTAAAAGAAATACACGTTTCTCAGAGTCTCAAACGTAGCCAAAAGGTATTAAACTTAAAAGATAATAAAAACTTAAAAGGTATTAAACTTAAAAATGCTCCGAGTGCGCATTTCATTCCCTTTTTTACGTTTCTCTCATGACTTTTTAGGACAGAAAATTGAAAAAAAAAGACAACAGATGCCAGACCTACCCAGTTCACACACAGCAAAAAGGCAGAGGAAGGAGCTGAACCGGCTTCTACAGGTGGTGAAGTGAGATTGGCAAATTCTAAGTCAGTTTTATGACATTTTCCGTAAGAAATACAGCCATGAGGAATTTTGCCACCTGTGCAAAACCCTGTGACTGGGTAGACAGTCCACTCGGAACAGGATCTCCTCTCCCCTCATCCCTGCCCTAAGTTTGTAATTCTCTTCAGGGAAACCTGAGGTGGGAAAGAGCAAAGTTTGGCACTTGAGCATTCCTAGGACAGCAAAAGCCATCGAAGTCTGTTGGTGTCCTATGTGATTTGCAGGGACCGAGGTAAGACACAAAGGGGCTCCACGGCCCCTGATGTCAAACTGCATAGATAAGGCTGACTACTGAGAAATCAAAATCCCTCCACAAGACCCTTAAGCGAGCAAGCTTGAGATGACGTGTTACACATGAGACATGACACAGCACCTCGCACGAGAGGCCCGTCTGCCAGCACTGCCTGTTCTTGCAGAGATGCTGGGTACAAGATCTGATTTACTTAACAGGAAGGTGAAATCCTAGAGAACCGAAATTAAGAAACGTCACAAAGAGCATCTTTTCTTCACCAGGACTGACTGTACACCCACCAGCTTATGAGGAAACCTTGGATCTGGGCATAACACCGCTGGGGAGCATGGCAGGAGGTTGAATTTCCAAGCCCAAACCCCGTCTGCCTGGCAGACGGAGCAGAAGCAGTGTTTGTGTGCTACCCAGCGGTGATTTTCTGGTCCCAGGCTCACAGAGCCATCCTCTTTGCTCTGCAACCGTTGAGCTAGGAGATGTTTCTTCTCCCTCACTTGAGCTTCCAGGAAGCACTTACCTAATGCTAAGCTTGTTTTATACCAGTAGAAATAAGAAGGGTCAAATCCAAAAAAATATTTGCAAGACTGAGTTTCCTCTTGTTTATCAGAAGATGCAACGTGTAGGAGTAAACAGCTACTTAATTTTGGCCAGTGCTGCCGCTCTTCTTTCTGTGTTCTGGAACAAGGCTCGGATCAGACTCCTCACTTCAGCTGCAGAGAATTCAGCTGCAAGGGGTCCCTTCCCATCCGCCCACCTACGTGGGAGAGAAAGTTCTTTATTTAGCCAGACTGCACAGAAATGTCATGTTAAAACCAGCCTTTTGAGCACCCGTTACAGTCCCAAGTCTGAAGGCAGAACAAATGCAGTTTGCAACTGCATGCAACTTGGGTCTGGAATTGTTTTGCTAGGTGTAGAGAGCAACAAGTTGTGATTTCCACACTCCATGCAAACCATACCTTTTCCTTCTGCAAAATAAGCCTAAAGCCTGTCTGCAAAATTCCCATTCACCTCCAAAACACAGGAAAGAAGAAAAAAGTGGCTTATGGCCAGGTAGAGGCAGGGTTGGGAACCTCTGGTTTCTAACGTGGTTCCAACGCCATCAGCGAGAGGCACAGAAAGGGAACTCCTCCGTGCTGTCCCCTGGGCTGGTACCTCCTGAGCCCAGCCTACTGAGGACAGCACCTTGTCCTGCCGTTCAGACGTATGCGTGTGGCAGCCGTGAACAGGGAGTGTCTGGCTTCTGACAACTCACGCCAACTGAAGTAACAGGAGCAATTATGCGAATCCTCATGTATAATTCAGATAAACCTCCCTTGCAAGTTAAAAGCAGCCAGAAACGGCATCGAAAACGCAGAGGCCAATCATGTGGAATGACTGCAGCAGCAAGGCACAGATACCATCAAAGCAGCAGGCAAAACGCCGGGCTGCTCGCCGTGAAATACTTCTGAACTTGGAGAAGCCAAGGGGGATGCGCAACCGCGCTGTGGTTGGCTCTCCTACGGCACTTGGTTTTTTACCGCTGCCTTTTCCTCTGCAGCAGGCAGCTCAATGCGTGAGCAAGCTTGAAATGGACTATAAACACAGAAACAGCCCCAGGGGCACCTATCTGATCCTTATTAATGATGACTGCCTTTCATCTCAACAGAGTCCCCTGAGTGCAGTGCGCTGCGGATGTCGGACCGCTTCCCAGCTCCATTGTTGGGCTGAGGAGCTAACACTGAGGAGGAAGAAAGGAAGACACCTACTGGTCTACTATTTCTTGGAGGTTGGCTTGCAAGATGATCATCAGCTCTTTGAATGTCATCCATTTCTGCACGTAGACTGGAACTTCCTCTTGGTATTTCTTATTTTTGTCTTCTTCAGGCAGAGGGGTGAAAACTTGGGGTCCTTCTTCCACCATGATCCTACAGAGGGAGTACAACCGATCTGCATCTTCTGCAGAGATATCCTAGAATTGAACAAATGTTAATGGAGGCAGTTAGATCTACTTTTGGAGTGCCAAGCAGTAAGTGGAACACAAAAGAGATGGCTGTGTGTGTGTGAAATTAAAGCAGGGGTTCAGATCGCATTCAACTACAACTAGAACAGATGCACTAACACATTTCTGTCATTTGCTGTGAAAACATACTTAAATTAGGAAATGTAATAGAATAGTTGTACTCGACCTAAGGTGGCCTGACAACGACTTAAACACAGAACTGGAGTGAAATGGAGATTTAAAGAGCTAAGAATTGCAGTTTGAAATGCCAGGCGGATTTTGGCATCTGGTGCTGAGATAGGATGGAGAGGTTCATTAGAGATGCACACATTGAAAATGTATGGGAATAGATGGAGTTTCAGACAACAGCTAACTCCTGTGTGTCGAACAAGAAAAACCAGATCAATTCATAGCAAAACTAGGAGTGACAGGCCCAAATCCAAATTGAGATGGAATCACAGCCACTTCCCTGACCCTCCCCTTGACTACAGAGCCATGGCATCACTGTCAACTGGACGTGAGTTACTGCTACCTTGAACGTTTCTCGTTGACAGGACCACAACTGCAAGTTCTGTGAAAGATCACTGTTCCCTAAAACCTGGTTTCTATCTTCCAGAGGTCACGAATGCTAGCTGATTTCACCACCCCAGGGCTGGCATGTCCACCTCGTGCCGTTACCTCTAGGGCAGCAATCCTAGTGACAACCTCTGCGAGAGCTGTGTTCAGTAAGGTCCCCATAGCCTTGCAGTACACGTTCACCGGGAGGACGTCTTGCCAGACTTTTCCCAGTCTTCTCAGCTGATGCAGTACCTGGAAGTTAACAGCTGTGTGTTATCTACGTGTGATCAAAAAGTACACTAAGAGAGGCACCCAATGACAAGGTGACTACATGTGGTCAGAAATCAGTTTGAAAAAGGCAGAAGACAATGAAGTATCCTGCAACTGCATAGAGCAGACATTCCTGGGTAAAAATACAACATTTTTGCTCATTAAAACCGTGATAGGTCTTTTCCTTGAAAAAAAAACCCACAAACCATTATGAATGTACTATCAACAAAACGCCAAGATCAAGCAGCTTTTCATTTCAACGTGGGGCAGGAGGAACCGAACTCAGCATGCTTCGATTTTACAAAAAGACACAGCCCAGGAAAAAAAAATCATGGCAGAAAACTGTTCTGAAAAGTGTGACTGCTGAAACAGTGCAGTTCTCAGGACTGAGATTAAATGTACCGTACCTTCCCAAGGACAGCATCTACAGACAAGGGGTATTGGGCTTTGATTGCCTTGCTTACCTGCCTTATTGCTTTGTTTGCTGCACAGTAATTTTCCTCATCATCCATGTTAGAAAAATTCCTGGCACTTGACAGCCTCTCCAGGATTTCTCCTTTCTGCACTCGCATCTGGGCCAGAAAACACTCCATCCCTTTAAGAGCAAAAACAAGCAGAGAGAAGCAATTAAGCAATTATTAAATTTGCTCTGCCAATTTAGCAACTGTAAGTGCTGAATAATGAACCTGCTATAATGATTTATGTTTAAAGGAATTTCCAGTCTCATAGAGCAAACTTAACCAGGCCCAGTTACGTATTTGGTAAGGTCTTGTGCAGCTTGCACTGCTACAACACTTGTGAAAACGGGCTGAGTAGCAGAATTAACCATGGATGACAGGCTCCTATTAGGCTCACACAGTCTTATCTCTGAATTTGTTTCCATAGAATATGCTAAAGAAAATATCAGAGGACTGAGCAGCAGATCCCAGAATATCTGAGTGCCACAACATCTCGCAGGATGATGAACTGTTCTTGAACTACGTGCTGGATAAGAGTTGGGTTTTGAAGAGTCAAGCCCTAAACTTGGGTCTTGCTTAGAGCCTAACGCTTTCTCAGGCTTCCCAGTCTAGAAAACGTCCTTGCTACTTGTCCAAAACTCTTCAATAACAATCCACTGCTTGAGCCAGTAGCTGCACTTACGTTAAATAACTCAGAAATAAATACCAAGATTAGTTACCATGATATCCATCCATATACTGCAATACTGAAAGGTAAAATTACCAAGTCTCCTAAAACCAGGTACCAGGTCTACGAAAGTAGCTGCTCCGTTGCACAGGATGTTAGTCAGGCGGTACCGGAACTGGTGTCCCATGGTGAGCAAGTGGTGAGCAATATACATGCAGTTGTTGTGGTGAATGGCTGCCAGCTGGGGTAACTTCTGAAGGTTCTCCCTGTCCCAGGAAGAGAAAATAGTGT